TCTCTTTCCCTTCTAGAGATGCCCTACGCACATTTATGAGGACGTCCAATATAGGACACAGTTGTAGGAGGCAGGGTGGTTGGAAATGTACACCCTTTGAAACTCTGATACTGTCGAATAAGATATGTAACAGACTCACACTGGCCTTATGAAGACATACAGCACATATAGGAACAGTATCCTAAATATTTCATAACCAATTTAAACAATTCAGTCTTTTATTCAGGACATTCTAAGTTTAGAGAACAAAATATAGCCGTGTTTATTGACCTTAGTCTAGAAATTTATGATAAAGTGCTGTCCAGTGGTCTTACCAAGTTGTAGTTTAGTCCTGAGGTCTTCAGAAATAGTCCACTAAATACAAGCTGATGTCAGGGACGGTCCTCCTGCGGTCCAGTGTTTGACAGGGCCATGACAGGCACATATGAGCCAAATCAAGGCTGCTTCTGACTAGTCAACATCAAGCTGCAAAACTGCGGAGATGAATTATCATAGAAGGAGGTGAGCTGTTATAACCTTGTTACAATGTGTCTTTACAAACATCTGCCATCACTGCAGTGATTCACACACATATGTATATAGGAGGAGGATTGTGAATCATTTAAACATCATCCGGTGAATCATCACTGAACCGCTCTCTTTTGAATCAAGTGACTGCTTACCTGCCTTGATAATACAAACAACAAATAGCAAAAAGGCCAGGCTGTGAAGGAGCATTTCATTGGTCGAGCTGACTGAACACGCACTCATCACTGAACGAGTCAGTGTTTTCAATCTGAATTTGAGCGAAGTTGAACAATTTGAACTGGGACATCTCATTTGTTCATATCTATTGTGCTTCGTTGTGATTTGTGATGTTTCTGTAGTCTATTTGTAAATTAGTAGACATGCAAATTAATTATGATTGTTTTGGTTGCGAAGGACTGTATTAATAGTCAAATGATACAATGAGTAAATTCAGTAAATGATTCAATGAGGCATTCATTCATAATGCAAGAAACACTCAAACCCCATGCTGGCATAAAGATAGCCTTCATTGATCAAATCAGCATTCAAATTTGAATTAATATTTTTGGAGAACTGATTCACTGTAAGAAATCTAAGTCAGTGTCATTAAAATACTATTACTGTTTCTTTATATTTTGAATTTTCAGCATTTTATTTAATTTGGTTGTTTTTGTCATTTTATTAGTTATATGTTTTATATGTCTTTATAGTTCTTACTCATTTTTTTTTATTTCAGTTGTAGTTTTAATTATTTTAGTAGGCTACATTAAGTTAAACTAGACTAAATGGAAGAAATGCATCTTTGGCAACAAGCTGATACAAAATAAGTTGAAGTTTTTGAAATATTTTATTTCAGTTAAGGTTTATTTAAAGTATTTTTTAAATGGTTTTAGTTGTGAACACACCAGATTAGATATTAATACATCTCCAACCAGATAGTTGGGATAATGAGCTGGGGCTATAACTGTTTATTGTATGTAACTGAATAATTAATAAATTACATTATTGAACAACAGCGGGTTTGCCATATTGATGAGATACCACGTAGCCTATTTCTTTTATTACAGCATCATTAAGAGAAATTTAGCTTAGATCTTCCAGAAATATTAATCAGAACCGATCCAAAAGCAAATATAAAATCGTATTTAGTTTGCCATGTGGAAACCATTAGCGTTTTTGAGTCCGCTCGGGGCCATGCTGTCTAGGAAGGCAGCGCGCTAGGTTTTGAGACACATCCACGGTCTTCTTTATATTCAGATACAGAATCGGACATAAATAACAAGCTAATTCAAACAAGCGTAAGTAACCTTTCTATATATATATATATAAAACAAAATAGGCATTAAAGGCTGGTACTGATCACAGGCTCTGTAGTGATGCAGTCATTAGGATAGCTAGCGCGGCGCAGAGGTGCAATGATTCCCGGACATTCAGTAGCGAAGTCCGAGCTCACATTCATGTGATTTTGACATTTCAAACAAAGTCAAATGATTTACTTACCTCTTAAACAGTCATTTTAAAGAAAGAGAATTAGCTGCTCAGCGGTCGTAATCCTTCTTCAACCTTGGTACACGGATTGATCTCTTTCTTAAAGAGACAGCGCATTTTACACAGACGAGAGCGCGGGGGAGATCGTTTCTTCATGGGAACCTTGCGTTGACTGTGGTTCTTGAATTAATCTAAATATAATTAATAAAGTCTGAATCTAAACATGCACATGTGAATAATACCATTATTTTGTCCATTGAAGCTGTTCTTCATGGTAACTAGTGTTCGGTGGCACATTTTAAGATGATTTACTATAATATCGCCAACTGATATCCATCGTATCATTTGTTACAGGCATCAGAAGACTTAAAAAAAAACTGAACACATTAGGCATCCACACTCACTGGTTTTCATGGTGCATTGTGGGGATTTCTCACATTACTGTGTACTTAACCTGCATTACACTTTATTCACTACATTACAGTCCTAAAACTATTCCAATTACAAATACACCCGATTAGATTTAAGATGATTACAGATCTATTCCTCTAGTCTTGTAAGTCCTGTAAAGTGTCTTGTGAGGTAAGACATGAAAAATATTCATAGTCTTACACAAAAATAAACATACTTCCAATGCCAAGTTTACTACAGAATAAAGGTTGACAGATATTGGATACAAATGTCAATTCTAACAATCAAATGGTTTAACTTGTAACCCCACCACCCAACACATCTAGACAGACCTGAAATGATCCATTTTACTGCTTATTAATTTTGATAAAGATACATTTGGTAAATCAAACCCTGCTTGTCTAGAAGTAACAGTTCATTCACACAAATTGAAATGTCTAGTAACTTTATTTCACCATCACATTCAGCTTCAAACACATTGCTTTGTTTTTATCAACCTGTGATGTTTAGATTTATTTCATGCACGTCTACATGCTATGAAAGTCCAAACACGTTCTGTAAATTTCTGGTAAGTGCCACAAGGAGGAGAAAAGACAGTAGAAGACTAGTATGCAACGTACACTTGCAAAACTTTTCCACCAAATCTTTGTCTGAAGTGCCTTCAAACATGAAATCATTATGTAAAATCAGCAGTAAGCTAATCAGTCATACATCATATCCTAATTATTATGCAATAGGACCACAACCACATCCTCTTTTCTAACTCCTGCCTTATAGGGGGGAAAAAAGAACAGGTACAGAAATAAGCAACCAAAAGCCAAATATCTGAAAAAGCCTCTATAAACTACACAATGACTATCAATTTTTGGAAACCGAAACAGGCCAGAAAAGTGGAATCTTAAATCCAGTGAAACATTGAAAAGAAACTGACCCTGAAAAACAAAACAGGCATGACTAGACGTAACACACATCTTCAATAGTTCTTCAGATTACAGTTATCTCAAAGCAGGAAAAAAGCCACACACAAACACATGAGAATGAAAAATAAATATTTACAAAACTATGGGACACACTGTTCCCGATAATTTGATCCACCCTACAGTGAAATATGAGGATCACTGTCCCCGATACATACACGCCGGTAGGCAAAAACTACCTTTGAACACTCCACATTATGGAAGACACTGCTCCCGATAATGAATTTAGAATAGAAATATAAATGTTACAGAGAAATGCTGTTGTCACAAAAATGCTTGAGCCCACAAGTTTGGTCAAAATGGAAACTAGCCTTGCCAATTTATCAATTTGACCAATTTTGGGCTTTTCTTAAAAAAAAAAAACTTTTTTTTAAAGAAGAGGAACTGCTCCGTAATATTAAAACAGGTGCTTTTGAGCTTATTTCCTCAAGCACATGTAACAAGAGACATTTCTAATGCCAGCTGTTGGTAACATGTATTTCTGTTAGCAGATGCTGCTTTTAAGAACTGACAGTATAACTGTCACAATTATGGAAGGCACTGCTTCCGATAATTAAAAAAAACTTTTATAGTGAACACTGTCACTGATAAATAAATAATAAATACAGTATGGTCCTCAGTTGGTCACAGAGGCTGAGTTGGGGTTTTATATGACGTTCGCAAGGGACTAAAATTCCCAAGTAATTCCCAAATTTTCAAGGTAAACCAGAAATGACATGCACCTTAGAACAATTTGCAGAGGAGCAAAGTTGATGACCTTGTGCTGATTTCTTTATCGATTAAATATTGTATTACTTATCCCTAGTCCTGCAATATACACTCTACCGGTCAAAAGTTTGGGATCAGAACGATTTTTTATGTTTTTTACAGGAGTCTCTTATGCTCATCAAGGCTGCATTTATTTGATCAAAAATACAGGGGGAAAAAATTTAATATTGCGAAATATTATGATGTAAAATAATGTTTTTCTATTTTAATATACATTCAAATCTAATTTATTCCTGTGATGCAAAGCTGAATTTTCGGCATTATTACTCCAGTCTTCAGTGTCACATGATCGTTCAGAAATCATTCTAATATACTGATTTATTATCAGTGCTGGAAACTGTTGTGCTGCTTAATATTTTTTTGGAACCTGTGATACTTTTTTTCTGCATTCTTTGATGAACAAAAAGTTAAAAAGAAGAGCATTTATTTAAAATAGAAATATTTTCTAACAATATACACTAGAATTCAAAAGTTTGGGGTCAGTACATTTTTATTCTTTCTTTTTTTTAAACAAATTAAAACTTTTATTTAGCAAGGTGATAGAGTGTGATAGCAAAGTGATAACGATTTATATTGTTAGAAAATATTTATATTTTGAATAAATGCTGTTCTTTTAAACTTTTTATTCATCAAAGAATCCTGAAAAAAGTATGTTTCCCAAAAAATATTTGGCAGCACAACTGTTGCCAACACTGATAATTCTAATAATAAATCAGCATATTAGAATAATTTCTTAAGGATCATGTGACACTTTATACTGGAGTAACGGCTGATGGAAATTCAGCTTTGCATCACAGAAATAAATGATATTTTAAAGGATATTAAAATAGAAACCATTATTTTATACTGTAACAACATTTTGCAAGATTACTGTCAAGCCTTACAGTACTGATTAGCCTTGATGAGCATAAGAGACTTCTTTATAAAAAAACATTACAAGTCTTAATGATCCCAAACTACATATAATGCAATAAAAACATTTAATATCTCACTATAGTTCTTAATATGATTAAAGAACTTCCAAAGTTTAATTTAAAACGGTCATATTAATTTTGAAGATATGCTTGGTCAAAATTCATTGTTCCAAATCAAATCATTTCTACTTCATAGTGACAGGATTGTTTTTATGTATCTAGAAATATGTTCAAGCAAAGCCAATGACAAGTTGGTTGATGCAACAGTGAAAAACTCTATATCTCGTTGTCCAAGGACCAGATATCTCCAGCCAGGTCATTAGCACAGCCCTGGATGGTCCAGGTAAGTAGAGCGAACTGGTTTAGGACCTGGTCTATGTTGAAGCTTGTCTTTTCTTGTACATCACCCAAGTACTTTTCCAGGTCTGTGGTGGTTTGCCAGCCATTACCAAAGAAAATGTGGCGGAATGGGACATCTCTCAAAGAGACATAAGGAGAGAGAAAATTATGCTCCACCTTAAAAGGAGAAAACAAAGACATGAGAAATTGGCCAGTATGTATTAAGCAACGATACAAGATGAGCCTAGAAAGACCAAAAGAATAATAACTTCACCTTCATTATGCGGTTATTGATTATGCGACACATCTCAAAGTCATTCTGGTCAAACTGTTGTGCTGCTTAATATTTTTTTGGAACCTGTGATACTTTTTTTCTGCATTCTTTGATGAACAAAAAGTTAAAAAGAAGAGCATTTATTTAAAATAGAAATATTTTCTAACAATATACACTAGAATTCAAAAGTTTGGGGTCAGTACATTTTTATTCTTTCTTTTTTTTAAACAAATTAAAACTTTTATTTAGCAAGGTGATAGAGTGTGATAGCAAAGTGATAACGATTTATATTGTTAGAAAATATTTATATTTTGAATAAATGCTGTTCTTTTAAACTTTTTATTCATCAAAGAATCCTGAAAAAAGTATGTTTCCCAAAAAATATTTGGCAGCACAACTGTTGCCAACACTGATAATTCTAATAATAAATCAGCATATTAGAATAATTTCTTAAGGATCATGTGACACTTTATACTGGAGTAACGGCTGATGGAAATTCAGCTTTGCATCACAGAAATAAATGATATTTTAAAGGATATTAAAATAGAAACCATTATTTTATACTGTAACAACATTTTGCAAGATTACTGTCAAGCCTTACAGTACTGATTAGCCTTGATGAGCATAAGAGACTTCTTTATAAAAAAACATTACAAGTCTTAATGATCCCAAACTACATATAATGCAATAAAAACATTTAATATCTCACTATAGTTCTTAATATGATTAAAGAACTTCCAAAGTTTAATTTAAAACGGTCATATTAATTTTGAAGATATGCTTGGTCAAAATTCATTGTTCCAAATCAAATCATTTCTACTTCATAGTGACAGGATTGTTTTTATGTATCTAGAAATATGTTCAAGCAAAGCCAATGACAAGTTGGTTGATGCAACAGTGAAAAACTCTATATCTCGTTGTCCAAGGACCAGATATCTCCAGCCAGGTCATTAGCACAGCCCTGGATGGTCCAGGTAAGTAGAGCGAACTGGTTTAGGACCTGGTCTATGTTGAAGCTTGTCTTTTCTTGTACATCACCCAAGTACTTTTCCAGGTCTGTGGTGGTTTGCCAGCCATTACCAAAGAAAATGTGGCGGAATGGGACATCTCTCAAAGAGACATAAGGAGAGAGAAAATTATGCTCCACCTTAAAAGGAGAAAACAAAGACATGAGAAATTGGCCAGTATGTATTAAGCAACGATACAAGATGAGCCTAGAAAGACCAAAAGAATAATAACTTCACCTTCATTATGCGGTTATTGATTATGCGACACATCTCAAAGTCATTCTGGTCGATATTCCTTATGTCAATATTTAGAGAGGCTGCGGCACAACTGTAGGAACTCTTTGCCGCATTCAGCCACTTTGTTGACAAAGACTCAATTTTATCGACCTGTTAAAAGAACATTGAGAATCAATAAGTTTTTTATTGTTTCTCATTGCAAAAACAATGCATATGACAAAAAGCATTACCGTGTCATTTTTGAGAGTGTCAACGCGCTGGGTGATGGCGCTCACGTGGCGGGCAATCACATCAGAATACTTGGTAACATCTAGTTTGAGGATGTGGTCATGGACGAGCCGAAGGGCCATCTGCCCAGCAACCTGAGCAGCAAGCACGGACAACTCAACCACTTTCTGATCGGTGATGCAGTCCAGATGCTTTTTTTCATCCATATTTGTGCCTAAACACTGTTTATCCTGGTGGAAAAACATCCTAAAATGAGTATGCAAACATTTGGATGACTCTTTGTTTATGACACTTATGAATAGAGCAACATTTTGGGCCGGCAGTCTCAAAAAACCACTGGGTGATGAGCTTGAATGGTAAGGAAATGGCTTGTGGAATTTATTTAAGGGTCTGGATGCATGATTAAAAGCATTAATTTTTTTAATTACAATAGACAGGAAAAACACTTACCGAAGAAGAGATGAAACCGAAAGAAACGGATGGGATTCCAGAGAGGGCCAGGAAAGGATATGCACCATCATCCATCTGCATGGGTGTCAGACTGAGCACAAAAATAGATTCATATACATCACATCACCAAAGAAACAATCACAATTATATTGATCACTAAAACTACCATCATTAAAACACAAATCAAAGCAGATTTACTCACAGTGATGAAAAACCACGACCATAACTCTGGAGAAGGCTTGAATTTGACCTTAGGTTTTTGACCTTTCCCAAGGTCTTCTGCAGAAGGGTGTGCAACAAAGGACTGGCAGAAGCTCTAAAAGAATCTGCTCCTGTAGATTAAAGAGAAACGCATCTAAAAATGTCAAAGAATAGGGAGAAAAGTAGGAAATGGGACTGTGAACGAAATGAGTGGTTCTCGAACTTGAGCACCACTGAATTAGCGCTACCAAATTTCTCAGGATGCATAGGCACTAATATGCACTTTTGTTAATACAAAAATAAGATTCAAATTTAAATTGATAGAATTACATTAGTCTATAAATTCAAATAATAATAATAATAATAATAATAATAATATTAGATTACTTAAAGCTGCAAGCAGCATTGAAAGGGCCCTCGCACCCAGAGCCACCTCCACCCGGTGGCCTTAGGAAAACCGTAAACGTTGAGCAATATGCATTTACAGTGTTAAATATAGGAGAAATGTCAAAGTTATTTATATGTGTGAAACTTCCTGCTGTCAGCAGGTGGCGCTATGACTACAACTGAATATTGGCATGGGCATGTGTTCAGGCAGGACTCTTATCAAACGTGAAGTTTGGGGCATTTGCATGTCTGAGTTACAGCAACTTCCTGTTTCATGGCAAAACATAATTTGCCCTTCAACGAAAACGCAGGATCTTTGCAATTTAACATCACAAAAGGCTTCAAATTATACTGAGCAAATTTGGTGTTGATCGGATTAAATCTCTAGGAAAAGTTCGTTAAAATACAACGCCTGAAAATGACAAAAAACTAAACAAAATTTGCAGAGAAAATAACCGACTTCATGTTAGGTTTCGGATTTTGCTCCGAGATAGATATTGGTGTGTACATGTGTCTACCGAATTTCATACATGTACCAGAAACGTAGCTTGAGGGGTACTTCGATGAACATGTATAGGTGGCGCTATTCAGCCATTTTTGCAACACACACTTCTGAAACCTATATCAGATGTACATTTTCGTCACTTCTGCTGTGTGCAGTTTCATGAGTTCGAGCAGGTTTCTAGCCTGAAACAGCAATCATCGGGGTCCAGTCACCAATGTCCCATGTGAAAGATTAAGTGATAAAAGTGCCATTTATCTCTGCCTACAGCCAAGTCAACAATCTTGGAATTTCCAGTTGATATGGAGGGATTTAATAAACACAGAAATAAATTATATTCTGAAAAGGCACAACAGAGAGAATTTATATGCACACAGTCTACTGGCAGATATGTTTAATGCAGCCAATTCAACTTTGTGTTATGTGCCAAGTTTCAATTTTACCAATCATATGGTTATGCCATTATTAAGGATTTTCAGTTGTAGCATCCCCTATAAAGTAGGTGTAATTTTGATACAACTTGGTGTGCATCAGAGTTTGCATGAGTTGATGTGCATGTTTGGGACAATCCTGCCAAGCTTGGGGTCCCAACAATTTATGGTCTCAAATTCCTATATAACTTCATGCCAAATAAAGAAAAAGAAGAGGAGGATAAGGAAAAGTCTCAACTAGATATATAATTGATACTACTTGGTACGAGGGCTGTGCGATTAATCGAAATCATCACAAAATCACGATTTGAACTAGAGCAATTTCTAAATCGCTTTATAGCATGATTTTCCGCGTCCCCGACCTCCCGCAGTATGCTATCCGAACCAATCAGAATGCAGCGTGCATAAATGGAGCACGAGAACAGAACAGACCGGGCGGGCATACAAACGTAACGCCAGGTTCACACACTCCATCTGTGTTGCGTTTTTTTCCGCGCCCATTTTAACGGATCAGAGCGTTCACACTGCACTCGATTGCGATCCGGCAGTGCGCTCCAGGAGCGGTGCGTCTGCAGCAGTCATGCTGTGATCGTTTCTGCACGGAGTCTATTTCTGCTGTGCTGCACGCGCTGAATTAAAGTGACAGCGCATTGTTCGCGGTAAAAATTAACATGGATTGACACGGAAATTTAGTAATTACACCATAAATGCATATAATTAAAGTCTACTGTTTCACAGTCAACACATAGCTTTTTGACTAGATTTAAAACAAGGAAAAATGCACTTTTAGATAAACAAGGCCATAATAAATGGCACTCGTGGTGGTAGTTAAACAAAGTTATATTTATTGAGTTTAAACGTGAATATGTCTATGAAAGATTGTATTACTGTACTGTGATAAAAGAGCATTTTCAGAAACGTTTGGATTTGAAATCAAAATAATGGATAAATGTTGTGTTTGTGGTAAACAGCCGCGGATAAGGAGCGGACTGCAAACGCGCCCTGTGTGAAAGCAAAATGAGTCCGTGCTGCTTCTGCACCGCATACACATACTGTATACGCACTGCAGACGGAGTACGTGTGAACTTGGCGCAACAAATCTAGTTCAACATCTAAGGCAACGCCACAAAGAGCTCTATGACCAATGCATGGCAAAAAAAA